TGGCTGGGTCAAATGGTAGTTCTAGATCCTTGAGGAATCGCCACACTGTTTTCCACAATGGTTGAACTAGTTTACAGTCCCACCAACAGTGTAAAAGTGTTCCTATTTCTCCACATCCTCTCCAGCACCGAATTTTAAATTTTTAAATTTTATTTTAGTTTCAGGGGTACATGTGTGGGTTTGTTATAAAGCTAAATTGTGTCTTGCAGGGGTTTGAAGTATGGGTTGTTTTGTCACTCAGGTAATAAGCATGGTACCTGACAGGTAGTTTTTCGCTCTTCACCCTCCTCCCGCCCTCCACCCTGGTGTCTGTTGCCTTTTGTGTGTCCACGGGTACTCAACGTTTGGCTCCCACTTATGAGTGAGAACATGTGGTACTTGGTTTTCTCTTCCTGTGTTAGTTTGCTTAGAATAATGACCTCCAGCTCCATCCTCAGTGTGAATTTTAAAATCCCTTTATTCTGGAGAGAAGAAACACTGTACTGCTGTGGTTTCTTTCTGTTAATGCAGTGGTTCTCCAAGTGTGGTCACCAAACCAGTCACATCCCAGTGTCACCTGGGAGCTTGTTAGAAATAGAAATTATTAGGCCCTGCTGCCGATGCCCAAAATGAGAAACTCTGGGGCCTGGACCTGGGAATCTCGGCTCACTGCAACCTCTGCCTCCCAGTTCAAGTGATTCTCCTGCCTCAGCCTCCCGAGTAGCTGGAATTACAGGTGCCCGCCACCATGCCCAGCTAATTTTTGTATTTTTAGTAGAGATGGGGTTTCACCATGTTGACCAGACTGGTCTCAAACTCTTGACCTCAGGTGATCCACTCACCTCAGCTTCCCAAAGGGATTAAGGGTGTGAGCCACCGTGCCCAGCCTCCTTTTCTGCTGTTTTTAGAATCTTCTGCTACCATATCCACTGTTTCCACTACCAGATCCATAACCATCACCACAGGCACTGCCTGAGCTCCGTCCACCAAAACTGCCCCCTTTCATGGGTTCATAATTTGATTGCTGTTTCAACAATCAAAATGTTTTAACAAGTCTGCTGGGTGATTCCGATGCACACTGAAGTGTGAGAGCCACTGGTTTAATGAGGAAGCCTGTGGGAATACCTTGAAGCAAACAGAGAATCTCGGTTCAGCCAGGTAACTGATGGAAAGAGAAACTCTCGCTAATTGGTGGGGATGCAATTTTCTGGGGTTTTATTTTGGTTCCCCCTTGCAGTGATGAGAAGATTCCTGTTGGCCAGATATGAAGGAGATATAGGTCCTGGGAGTTATGGGGTGAGGGAGTGTTTTCATGGACCTCTCCGGAATGGAGCAAATCCACCTGGGGTTTCATTGACCAAATCCACCTGGGGGACAAGGACGGCAGAGAAATCAAATCCCCGTGCACCTCCAGATCAAGGAAGTCGAATGTTCCAAAGTACAGCTGTTGAAAAGGGTCAGGTTGTATCAGAGAGGAGTGTGTCTTGGTTTGGCCAGGACTTTTCCAGCTTTAGGACTGAAAGTCCCATGTCCCTGGAAGCTCCCCAGCCCTGGGAAAACCAAGACAGTTGGTCACTGGTCACTGTAGTTCAGTGACTGCCTGCTGGAATTACTTGGTGGGCTTTAAAAAATACTGATGCCTGGGCCCCTCTCTGGAGATAATGGTAGACTTGGTCTGGATGTTTAGAAGTTCCTCAGGTGATCCTAAGGTAGCCGGGGTTAAGAATGGTTGCAGCTGCTTGCCTGCCATTTCTCCTATTAAAAAAAATAAAACACAAAACATATATAAGTCAATGGTTCTAATGAGGTTGAACCCCTACCACACATTATATACAAAAATTAGCTCAAAATGGATCAATGACCTAAATAGAAAGGCTAAAACTATAAAATGCTTAAAAGAACATAAAGGGGTAAATCTTCATGACCTTAGATGTGGCAATGGATTCATAGATATAACACTAAAAGCACGAGTAAGAACAATAAAAATACACAAATTGGACTTCGTCAAAACTTTTGTGCACAAAGGACATTATCCAGAAAGTGAAAAGACAGCCCACAGAATGGGCTAGAATATTTGTAAATCATATGTCTGATAATGGTCTAGTATTCAGAATATATAAAGAATTCTTACAACTCAGAAAAAGACAACCCAACGGAAAATGAGCAAAGGATTTGAATAGAAATTTCTCCAAAGAAGATATAAATCACCAACAAGCACATGAAAAGATGCTTAGCCTCATTAGTCATTAGGGGAATGCAAATAAAAACCACAAAGGACAGACCACTTCATACCTACTAAGATGGATCTAATAATAAATAACAATAATAATGGAAAATAAAAGTTGGTAAGGATGTGGAGAAATTGGAACCCTCATACATTGCTGGTGGGAATGTAAAATGATGTAACCAACAGTTTGGTGGTTCTTCAAAAAGTTAAACGTAGAATTACCATAGGATGGCTGGGCTCGGTGACTCACGCCTATAATCCTGACACTTTGGGAGGCTGAGGTAGGGGATCACTTGAGGTCAGGAGTTCCATACAAGCCTGGCCAACATGGCAAAGTCCTGTGTCTACTAAAAATACAAAAATTAGCCAGGCATGGTGGCGTGCGCCTGTAATCCCAGCAACTAGGGAGGCTGAGGCAAGAGAATCCCTTGAACCCAGGAGGCAGAGGTTACAGTGAGCCACTGCACTCCAGCCTAGGAGACAGAGTAAGACTCTGTTTCAAAAAGAGAAAAAAAAGAAAAGAAAAAGAATTACCATATGACTCAGCAATTCTACTCCTAAGTATATACCCCAAATAACTGAAAGCAGATACCCAAACAGATAGTTGTGCACAGATATTCATAGTAGCATTATTCAAAATAGCCAAAACAGGGAAACAGCCCAAGTGCCTATCAACAGGTGAATGGATAAACAAATTGTAGTATAACCATACAATGGAATATTATTCAGCCATAAAAAAGAACAAAATATTGATACATACTACAACATGGATGAACCTCAAAAACAATATACTAAGAAAAAGAAGCCAGTTATAAATGATCACAATAATGTATGATTCCATATATGTGAAATATTCAGAATAGGTAAATCCATTGAGACAGAAGGCAGATTAACATTGCCCAGGGCTGGAGGAGGATGGGATAGGGAATGAATGCCTAATGGGTGCAGGGTTTTCTTTTGGGGTGATGAAAAAGTTTTGGTATTAGACAGAGGTGGTGGTTGCAGAACATTGTTTAAATGGCTAATTGTATGTTACATGGATTTCACCTAAATTAAAAGAAAATCATCAGGGTACTCATATCTACAAAGTACATTTGAAATCAAGCTCTTTAGAAGTCAGAGTCTTCCACAGCTGGCCTTTAACTAGCCCCTGTAGCCTATGTTCTACCTCTCTCCTACTATTTTAATCGTTATTGCTACCATCACCATGATACTGCATGGGATCCCATTGAATCCCAAAGTGTCATATATGCTCTGCCTCTGCTTCCAAGCTCACCAGTGTGCTTTGGGAAGTCTCCACCAGCTGTTCCAGCCCATGGTCCTCTCTCGGCTCCAATGCTCTTAACTTTATGCCCTTGCCACTCAAAGCATAGTACCTGCTTGGCATCCTCTGGGAGCTTGGAAGAAAGGCGGAAATTCGAGTTCCCGCTGCAGACACACTGAACAAGATCTTCAAATTATTTTAGTGCATATTAAAGTTTGAGAAGTGCTGGTTTGTACTAGTTGGCCCCAAGTCAGGCTGTGGATCAGAATCACTTGGTAAGCTATGCTTATGTATATTATACTCTTTCAATAATACATGCAGATGGTAAAATTACAAGCTGTACATATACAAAAAAGGGTGAAAAAAGTAAGTTTCCCTCCAATTTCAATTCCTCGGATTTCCAGCCCAGAAGTCATCTCTCTTAATGTTTCTTGGGTATTTTTCCTCCTTCTATGCATATGCAAGCATATATGTACATATGTATTTCCTGCCCTCATTTTGATTTTACTCAAGTGATAAAATACTGTACACATGGATTTGCACTTTTCACTCAAAATTTATCATGGAGATTATTTTAGCACATGTTGATGTACCCAATATTCTTCTTAGTGACTGCATAGCAGTTTTTGTAAAGTTGTATAGTTATAATATATGTAATTTATTTATGTTCAAACCATTGACTGGGCACAGTGGCTCAAGCCTATAATCCCAACACTTTGGGAGACTGAGGCAGAAGGATTGCATGAGCCCAGAAGTTTGAGACAAGACTGGACAACGTAAAAAAAAAAAAAAAAAAATTAATTGGGTGTGGTGGCATGTACCTGTGGCCCCAGCCACTCAAAGGCTGAGGCAGGGGGATTGCTTGAGCCTGGGAGGTGGAAGCTGCAGTGAGCGGTGTTCCTGCCACTGCACTACAGCCTGGGAGACAGAGTAAAACCCTGTCTCAAACCCCTGCCCTGCACCCCCTTCCCCTGCCCAAACCATTAAAGAACACCATATTGTTTATTACGGCGCTATGGTGGCTATCCTTTGTGTATATCTTTGAGCATATGATGTGCTAATTTCTGTAGGATTAAAGAATTGCCAATTATGTGTGCTTTAAAGTGGTAAGAGATAGTGCCGAATCCTCTCTAAAAAGAGGTACCAGTTTACATTCTTGGAGAACTTTTAAAAACACAAAATTTGAGGCTACTCTGTATTTCAATTCATGAGAACTCTGTGGGCAGAGCCTGGGGATCTGCATTTTACTTCTTTGGTGATAGTGATAAAAGAAATCTGCAGAATGGAGTGGGGAACCAGAGGGCAGATCTCCCTTCACCCCCAAGCTGCTATTCCTCCTGGGCTGCCTTGGGTTGCTATTTATCTATGTGACTGTTCTATCTCCTCACCACGGTGGAAGGTTCCTAAAGACAGGCCTCAGGATTGCTGCCTCCTTATGTTCTTACCCCAGCACAATGCATTGTACAACAATGTTTGTTGATGTTGAGTGTCTGTGGCTCATGTGATTTTTTTTTTTTTTTTTTTTTTTAGTTCCATGGACCAAAGACAGAGGAGAATCCTGGGCCAGCCCCTTTCCATCCCTACTTCCCAGCCCAAGCAGAAAAGGACATCACTGATATCTTTCTTTTCCAAGGTCTGACACAAAATATTATGAACACATTTCTCCTCCCAGCAGCTGTTTTGTAAGATGTATGTTTGCTTGGTCTGCGGTTAGTTAGTCCTGCTCCCCTGAAGTTCCTTCTGAAAAAACTTTGATGACAGTTCTTTTAACATGGATAGGATGTTTACAGGATGACAAGAAGATTAGTTGAGAATAACTTGCTGCTAACTCAATAATACAAATATGGTGTGGTGGCTCATGCCTGTAATCCCAGCACTTTGGGAAGCTGAGGCAGGTGGATCACTTGAGCTCAGGAGTTCTAAACCAGCCAGGGCAACATGGCAAAACCCTGTCTCTACCAAAAATACAAAAATTAGCTGGGCATGGTGGCATGTACCTGTAGTTCCAGCTACTCAGGGCTGAGCTGGGAGGATCGCCTGAGCCCGGGAGGTAGGGGTTGCAGTGAGTTGAGATCGTGCCACTGCACTGCAGCCTGGGCAACAGAGTAGACACTGTCTTTTTTTAAAAAAAAAAAAGTTAGATAAAAAAGGAATGAGCTGTAATGAAAATCCAGGAATACTAATGAAGCTTGGAAATCACCAAATCTCATCCATAGCACTACTGAGATAGCTGAATCTCAAGCCAGTCTCCCGCTCTAGGCCCCCCTCTAAGGATGGTGGGGAGGTGGCTTTTGTCTTCTCTGATCTTGTCCGGATCTTTCAACATCTTGATTCTGACTCTAGTACCTGTTGCTGTGTTTTGGGTCCTGCTGCACACCAGGGTCTTCCTGCATGAGAGCTGACAGGCTTACTACAAAGGCTCAGAGACTAGCCTATCTCTTGCCCCATCCCTGGCCCTGCAATTACTTCGAGTTCAGTGTTTTTGTTTGTTTGTTTTTGAGACGGAGTCTTGCTCTGTTGTCCAGGCTGGAGTGCAATGGTGTGATCTCAGCTGACTGCAACTTCTGCCTCCCAGGTTCAAGCAATTCTCCCTGCCTCAGCCTTCCAAGTAGCTGGGATTACAGGCATCTGCCACCACGCCCAGCTAACTTTTTGTATTTTTATAGAGATGGGGTTTCGGGGTTTTGCCTTGTTGGCCAGGCTAGTCTCGAACTCCTGACCTCAGGCGATCCGCCTTCCTTGGCCTCCCAAAGTGCTGGGATTACAGGAGTGATAGAGTTTAGTTCTTAAAGTACAGGTTCCTGCATCAGACACACAGTGTTCCCCAATTTGCATTATTCATGAATTTCTCTTCCTGCTCTTAATTGCATGTTCAGATGCATGCATTCTGGAGTTGGGACATCCTTTAAGTGCCCTGAAATGTTCGCAGATGTGTACTAGATCAGTCCTGAAATGTTCGCAGATGTGTACTAGATCAGTCCTGAAATGTTCGCAGATGTGTACTAGAT